ACACTAAATATATTCTCTCTCCTTATATCTGATTTTTCCTTTTTCAGCAGCCTCTGACCACCAGACTTCCTCCGACCGCCACACTTCTCCGGTGAAAATCTCATCGGCAGACTCCCTCCGAACACCTGCAAAAAATATACCACTGCACTGATACGTTGTACCACTACACTGGTAGCTATACCACTGCACTGGTAGCGATATCAATGCACTGGTACCAATGTCATATATGAGTATCAGTGTAGTGGTACAAATATACCAGTACAGTGGTACAACATATCAGTGCAGTGGTATATTTTCGCAGGTGACCGGAGAGAGTCTGTCAGCGGATTTTACCGGCGAAATGTGGTGGTCGGAGGAAACTTGGTAGTCGGAGGCTGCTCGGAAAGGAAGAATAGAGATAGGAGAGAGAAAGATCAAAGATGAGAGAGAGAATTGTATTTTTGTATATGTTTAGATTTTTTTTAAAAAAAAGAGTAATTAATGTGGTGTATTTAATGCTTACTTTGTATTTAATAACAGAACATTTATTATGGTTATTTTCATTAATACTAGTCAATAATTAATGAAAAATTGACCAATTAACAAGGGGGTGTCATTTTTCCAACCCCTTAAGGGGTTAGCATGCTAACCCATCCCGTCCATTACTCACATTCAATGGATAGTAAGTTAATAACTATAGTTCTTTGCCACTAACAATTCTAATGTCGTGTTTATATTGATTACGTTATTCGGGATGACATTTACTCACTCATGAGTAATTTTATCCAAACGCATATAAATGCATTAATTACGAGTAAAGTATGAGTGAAGTCTATATGAGTTTGGATACTTGTTTGCCAAAGAATGAGTGGTGCTTTCATATTTTATATGGGTATGGGTTTACCCATTATTTGAGGTTGTTTTAATTACATATATAAAAAAAATTGAATCTGTTTACAAAGCTTAAAAAGTTTAGTATCAAACGGTAAGGCAAAACATAATGTTAAGTAAATCTTAAAATACATAACGGTTAGTGACTCGCTCCTACCGTCACTCTAGAAAATGGCCAAGTGTAACCACCTTCTAAAGCGTAGTATAGCGGGTTTGGGTTTTAATGTCAACCCGGGTCCTAAGTGTGATGCCTACTCCGTGAGTTCTTATTATTTAGCGGTGAAACTTTAACGAAGGTCCAAACAAGCAAAACAGGTAAAAACGTTGTTTTCAAGTCGAAAGAGGTCACCCGGATATGGTTCCCCCTAGACTGCTGTTAAGCCGGATTGCAATTTACCAAGTTCAATTTCAATGATAGTTATACTGCGGGAAGTTCTTAAACCGCCTGAAGTCTCGACTAAAGGTCTCCAGACCCTCTCAATCTGAGTCCCGGTCGACTAACCTCCATCAGAGTAAACAGATTGAGGCTCTAACGAACCAAACCTCCACTACCGAAGTAAATTCGGTACAGAATAGTGAATTGACTCCTCGACTAAAGTCGCCAATTCACTACCTTCAATCAAGGGTGCTCTATCAACCTAGGCAGATATTCTCTTTCTGGGTTAAAGCAGAAACAACAGGAATTTGATCAGGATTCATGTCATTCAACAAATCAAACCTCAATCGAATATACTCAAATCATAAAATTTGTACTTGGGTTCATACAATCAGACCTAACATACAAATCTAGGGTTCTTCATACCCAGGTGAATAAGAAAGTTACTCCATAGAGAGATGGGAAATCTAGCTCAGATGCGGAAACCATACTGTGAAGGATGATAATCTGCTTCTGGCACTCAATCAGCTCTTCTCCAAGCTCAAGCCGGGCTCCAATGGTGATGGAGATTGATCAAGGACACTTGCAGAATCAGGTTCGTCACTTTCTCTCTCTAGGTAGCGCTTTTTCTCTCTAAAACTCGGAACCCTTCACTTTTGCCCTTCTTTTCCCTTAAGAAGCTGTCTGTCGCGATCCCCGATCTGAATACCCGGTCGGGTATTTTGGGTGGCGACCGGGTATCTTCAAAACGCACCGTCGGGGAACAGGGGAAAATCCCCGATCAAAGCCAAGAATCCCCGATCGGGGATTTAAGCCTCACGACCGGGCCCCCTTCTGCTTCTCAAACGTCCAAAAAGTGAATTCCCCGGTCTGCTCCAAATAATACCCGGTCGGGTATTTCTGCTCCTCCAGCACACTTCGACCCAAACGTGCTCCATTCGACCCGAAACTCATTTCTTCGCCTCGATGCCAACGCTATGTCCTGAAATATGACATAAACGCACAACCTAGCGTGAAATCGGCTTAAAACACAAGAATCAACATCTCAAACTGCTCAAGAATAGGGGTAAAAACATGTGCAATGAATGGTCTATCAGTTAGATATCAAACTCTAATTTGAATATGGATATAGATACAAACCCAAATCTATCGATTAAAAACTGAACCCAAATAAATGGACATGAGTATAAACTCATCAAACTATACCTATTTACCTTGTATTTGGTATCATCCCAACCAAATAGGGTTGGTAAATAGATTAATGCCAATGGATTTGGAAAAGAAAATGCCATCCTATGCATATATATGTAATGTTATTCAATAACTCTTACATAACATATACCTAAATTAAATAAAAGTTATGGAACAACAGTTGCTTTCTAAGTTACATTTTAGCATAGAGATACAAATATGAAACTTGCATGGTAGTATTATTTGATATGTCAAATGTTATTACCCTCTAGGCCTCACCCTACTGCCTGGATCGAATCTAGATTCAGCCGCGGGACACATTTCTAGAACCAATGTAGCAGCAAGTAATCTTTTGAGTTTTAATTAATTAGCTAGTTGCAATTAATTAAGAAGAGGTTATTACGATGATAAGGGGAAGTCATTATCGTGTGCCGCAATCCCTCCCCCCTCGTGCGTTGTGTATCTTCATCGAGACTCGCTACACAATTAACCGCTCTGAACACGAACCTGAATCTCGTATCACCATGCATTAATTAATTACGCAGGCAGCATCGATATTCATCAGAATTCAGATCTTCCTCCAGGCCACTGAGTACTAATGTGATACATATATATGTGTTCAGGGCCTCCACATGGCTCCCCCTGTAGCTACACCGCTGGCTGCCTGGTATTGAAACGCTTCCCCAAACTCGGAATCACGTACTAATGAGATTTAGGTAACGTTAGTTTGTGTAATAAACCAGTTAGTCGAAATAATACCAATTTTTGGTAGACTTATAATTATGGGTCTTATATGATCACCGTCTTACAGCTTGGAAGTTAATTACAGAGCCTTATCTATTCAAAAAATGATGTGGGAAACAGGTGTATGGAATTACGTACAAGAAGTGTGCTACATCAGGCCAGTATGGATCGTATTATATAATTCGAATTCTTGATTTAAACACAATGTATAAAGAGCTTATACAAACTATGAGTTGATTTTTATACGCTATGAGTTTTCATGGTAATTTATCGCGAACGTTATTTTGGTACGTAAAAAAAAATTAAAAATATATATTTTAAAATGTTCTACAGAATATGTTATTGACAAGAGTGAGAGACGGAGAGGCTGGAAAAGTGGAGACGATCAATGAGAATCTCTCTCGAACGCGGTTTAGGAATCGTTCCCATGTTGGAGCTGCGCCTGCATCTGCATCTGCATGGCCAGGACCTGCCATGCCACCTTGGCAGATCGAGCGAGCCCTATTTTTGCATGTAATCAAACAGAAAAAGCTAGCCGCGTGGTTTCGTCCTTGTCACTGACAATTCCCATGTTGCAAATTCAGTGCACACGATGGTGTGTCTGTGACCATAATTAAGCCTTCCTGCTGCGACTGTAATTAACTACCTACTCCTTAATTAATTGATTGGCCGATGTTAATTAGTTTAGTATTAATCCCACATGTAAATGACAAACGAGTAATCGGCGTCCATATGGTTCTTGGTTGTTTGCCGCCTGTGTGCCTTCTAATCATCACCATCCACGTCTCTATGCACTTTGCTCTTGCCAAAACTTTGATCAATTTGCATATTAATTGACGACCTACGAGTTGGAAATGTTGCGTACGGCGCCGGTTAATACGCATATTAGGGGGGGTTTGTTAGTGTTTAGTGGTAACGGTATTTTGTTAGCACTAATTAGTAATTAATCGATTAGGATTATTTTCGCTCGCGCCAATGCCATTTGCCGAATGTGGAGGATAATCGTATTTTTTCCTGTTATCTTCGTGTTCTTCCAATTCTTTCTTGATTTCTTTTGTCTTTGTATTTCTAATCCTCTATTTAGTCATGCTCTCCGTATCGATCTAAATCATTAATTCTGCTACACTTTGTTCTTGATCTATTTGTTTGGTCATCAATCCCGTGTGCTAAGATTAGTGCATGCATTACCTTTCTCATGACTCTTAGAGAATTTGTCTAAAACTTCCAATCTTATTCTTAATTTGTTTGCACCATTGTATAAGAACAATTGGCACATCTTTAGTAGACTTCATCATTTATATTGCAATACTGTCTTTAGTGGGGTTAATTAATCACTTGTACCACAATTACCATTTAAACATTGAACACACACCCATTTGCTAAAGAAGAAAGGCTTAGTAACACAAGAAACTCAAGCAAATAAATCAAATCCCCCAATATAATTGCCAACTATACCAACGGCCAAACATTTCTTTAGCTGCCAACAGTTCTCTTTTCCTTTTGGCAATTTGGGCACATCCCCCCACCACGTAGCCAGCGTGTCAACACCACGTGTGTCTCCTCCCCACTTGAAACGGCACTGTGTTTTCCTGCACCCATTTTGCTAATCTAATTACTCCTCTTAAGTTCAAATTATACTTCAATAATTATATTGGGTACTTAACATTTAACAATCAACATAACATGTAACAGCTGTACCATTCTGATCCCAAACGGTTCCTCCCACTCTCAAAAACTTCCTCCCTTTATATATAACTTCCCTCCCCAACCCACCACTCCCACACAATTTTCCCCTAAACAACATCCACAAACAACAACAATGGTGGGCAAATTCATGCGCTCCCTTTCCTTCCCCAACAAGAAACCTCCAATCTCCCACCACTTGAGATCCATCAGTCTCCCATCTCGTCCCCACCCGCTGATCTCACACTTGCGCCGCCAGATCGACGAGCTACATCTCTGGTCGAGTCAGCAGCCAGGTGGCACCACCACCAGAACGTCGACGTGGCTCTGCGACGGTCTGGCTCGACTCAAGGACGTGCACGACTACCTCGACGACATCATCCAGCTCCCGCAGACCCGGGAGTCTCTCTGCCGCCGCCACCCGGGGTGGATCGAGAATCTTCTGGAAGATTTCCTCCACTTCGCGGACGCGTACGGAAGCTTCCAGAACGTCATGTTCGGCATGAGAGAGCTGCATCTCTCCGCCCACGTGGCGGTGAGGAAGAGGGACGACGTGAAGGTCGCGGTGTTTCTGAAATCGAGAAGGAAGTTGTGTGCGGAAATGGCTAAACTTGTCAACGCGATTCGAACGAGAAGCGGGTGGGAGTATGCTCGTGTTGTTGTGGCCCCGGAGGATGCTGAGCTGGCGGGGATCTTGAGGGAGATCGTGGAGGTGACCGTGTTGGTTTCGACGGTTGTTTTTGGTGGGTTTTCGACGAGGAAAACGGCGTCGAGTTGGATGGGAGGGCTGAGGAAGAGGGCGAGGCGGTCTGCTGCGAAGATTGTGGAAGTGGGGATTGAGGAGATGAGAGGATTGGGTGGAGAGTGCTTGTTGGGGTTGAAGAGAAAAAGTGACGAGGAAGTTAGGACGGTTATGAGACGAGTGCAGGCGATGGAGGCGTGCATTTGTGAGGTCGAGAAAGGAGGGGAAAGGATGTTTAGGAGTTTGATTAGTACTCGAGTTTCACTTCTCAATTGTCTCGCTCTCTAGAGGGGGAAAATGCCAGACATAGACCAAATTATATGTTGGAGTCAATTACGTACACAGTCATTTATCCTTTTTTTTTTTTTTTACTTTGAGTACATATAATTAAATACATACTCTTAGCTTAGTGTGTCGTCAAGAAAAACGTTGGGAACTAGATCTAGTTGAAAATTCTACTTGACAAATACACATGTAACATATAGATCATTCAGAAAATTTTGGGATATTTGAAGTTGAACCAATTTCATTTCTTCTTTGTCTAAACTTATGTTTTCTTTAAGATATATGGAAATGAGAAAGTTGGTTACTATGTTTTCAAAAAAAAAAAAAAAGTTACTATAGATTTTGGGAGATTTAGACTAATCTGGAAGTTTGACCTGAATGACTAATCTATAAAAAGTGGTCATGCAAACATGAAATTTTTGAAAGGTAGTGATTTCAAACTCAGGTACAATATACCTAATTGAAAGTATCTTTTGATGTTCAACAATATTTTGCATGATACCTCTTGCGATGGAGATTATGATATAAAACCCCTCATCATCTAGACGATCCATAATTCAAAGATAATCACAATATATGAACGAATATTTTAAATGTATATCCCCATCTTCTTGTTATTGTTATTTATGAATAAGTGATCTATTCAATTCAAACCAAACTAAACTAAAGCAGAACTAACTAGGATTAAAACTCTCTCTTCCACTAAGTATAAGTAATTTGTGTTTATAGCTTTCAACCCCTCAAATTTTCTACTTAAATTTTGATTAGCTGTTGTTAATTTGAATTGAAGGCCAGGGGATGTGAAGAGGGCGAGGCGGTCTGCTGCGAAGATTGTAGAAGTGGGGATTGAGGAGATGAGAGGATTGGGTGGAGAGTGCTTGTTGGGGTTGAAGAGGAAAAGTGAGGGGGAAGTTAGGACGGTTATGAGACGAGTGCAGGCGATGGAGGCGTGCATTTGTGAGGTCGAGAAAGCAGGGGAAAGGATGTTTAGGAGCTTGATTAGTACTCGAGTTTCACTTCTCAATTGTCTCGCTCTCTAGTGAAAAAAAAATACCAGACATACAACAAATTATAGGTTGGAGTTAATTACGTATGCAATCATTTATCCCTTTTTTTTTACTTTGAGTACATATAATTAAATACATACTCTTACCTTAGTGTGTCGTCAAGAAAAACGTTGGGAATTAGATCTAGTTGAAAATTATACTGAACAAATACACATGTAACATAGATCATTCGAAATTTTGAGATATTTGAGGTTGAACCGATTTCATTTTTTCTTTGTCTAAACTTATGTTTTTCTTAAGATATGGAAATGAGAAAGTTGGTTTACTATAGATGTTGGGAGCGTGTTAAAATATATGAATTAAGATGGGTGAATTGTAAAAAAAAGGGGTGGATTAATATGAAAGTTTCATATAGTTTAAATGACTGATCTAAAAAGTGGTCATGGGAACATGAATCTTTTGAAAGGTAGATATTTCAAATTAAGGTATCGATGTTCAACGAATATTTTTCATGATACCTCTCTGGTGATTGAGATTATGATATGGAATCCATCATCATCTAGACAATCCATAATTCAAAACTAATCACAATATAGGAATGAATATTTTAAATGAATATTTTCGCATCTTCTCGTTATGGTTATTTATAAATAAGTGATCTATTCGATCAATTCAAACCAAACTAAAGCAGACTAGGATATTAAAACTCTCCTTATCTACCACTAATTATAAGTAGTTTATGCTGATAGCTTTCAACCCTCAAATTTTCTACTCTAATTTTGATTAGCTGTTGTTAATTTGAATTGAATGAGAGGGGAGACGAGTTTTGAAGATAAGAAATAACTCAAATAAGAATAGAGCAAACCCTAATCAAACGTGATTTTGGGTATATGTGTCCGCCAACCCACGTTGATCATAAAAGTGTGGGGATCAAACACCAACCCAAAAGCTAGGCACATGCATGAATATGATTCCTCCTGAGATAATATAATCGAATCTAGCTAGCTAGCTACTTTATGATTTCAGTTCCCTTCGAGTCACGTTAACAAAAATAGGATCCCATTTCGCTGGAAAATCCACCTAATTAATTATTTTCCAAAGATTATGGCATCCATATAACATTTTGTTTGAGTCATCCCCACCAATTATCATTGCCACTGCCAATTATATGTAAGTTTGTACATTAGATGTGTCGGTTAATATCACTTCATCATATCTTCATGCCCTTCATCTGTGAAAACACAACAAATCTACTCTTAATTTAAATTTTTCGTTAACGGATTGATATTGGATATGAGAATGTTTCATTTACCCCTCCCTTCTCACTTACTAATTTGATATTTTCCCCTATGAATCACAATGGCAAACATCACCATGGCAATTGTACGAACGTTCATGTTCAAGTCTTGAGTCTTGACTAGCTACTAGTGTCCTCTAAGTATGAGTCGGACGGAAGGATTCGAACCTCCGAATAGCGGGACCAAAACCCGTTGCCTTACCACTTGGCCACGCCCCATTTCTATTTTCATTCAATACTACTAAAAACTAACATTAGTATTGGTTCTTCGTCAATTCCTGCTCAAATAGTTATGAACTAAATTAGCTTGGTTTTCGTATTTTGATATGCGTAGATATAGAATTCAACTAAATTTATTGATCATAATAAGCTCACCAAACGCCGACTAGGGTCCACGAAAACTCAAGGCAAGGGCTCAAGCCCTAATCTATAAAAAGACTATTAAGCATTCCAGACTAAGCCATGAATACCTTATTTCTTAACATAACATTCATATCTCTATCGATCTTTGCCTTCGCTCTCAACATTTTCCACCAATAATATTATATACTCTATATATTGACTTGATCATCTGAATATAGATTAGAGAACTTGATCACCTCCTCTCATTAATCAGTTAATATTCCTCAAATGATTGGGTGTTCACCGGATCACAAAGGCCTTTGAAGGTTATCCACTTGACTTGCCTGGCTACTTTCTGCCTGTCCTGTTTTGTTCTTTCTCCATAAATCATTGCTTATCAAAGTCTTAAGTCTTTTTTTATTATTTTATAGGCAGAACAAAAGAACACAATTATGGAAAGTTGTGAATGATAAGGTGCTGCCTGCCAGGTAATTTTAGGTGCACTGGTTTATGCTTGTTGTACACTTTAGGCACCAATTCAATCATTCCATATAATCATTTTTTGCCTACAATTTCAATGATTCATCCTTAATAAATTAGCCACGAGTGGTGTCTATAATAAAATTATAACAGTAGGAAATTAAGCGTAGAAGGTTAGGAATGGTAATTGACAGGTTGGAGAGGGTATCTGGATATCCATTCTCATCCTATGATCAGTAGGATAATTTAATATGAAGCGTAGGTCAAGGCAGGTCGACTCATATGAGTATGTAATTTAAAGGAAAAATATTAGAAATGCTGATTTTTTTTTATTATATAAAAAATTAAGTAACAAACTCTAACATGACAAATGTAGTTAGATTATTCGAGAAATTGAGTTTTTCACATATTTACAACTTTATTATAGTTAATAAATAAGGTAATAAAAGTAAAAAAAAATTAAAAAACAGAGAGTTGAAAATGAAGCAAGTCAGGTCGAGTAGATTACCCATATCAACTCGATGACTCCACCCTGTATACATAAACAAATCAAACCGGTCAGATAAAATAAGGGTTAATTGCATGGTTGGTCACTGAGATTACAAAAAAAGTTCAAGTTTGATCACTCAAAATATTTAAATCCATTGGTGGTACTCCAGTTTACTGAAACCGTTCACGTTTGGTTACTCTCCGTCCAACTCCGTTAACTTTGACTGATGTGGCAGTCAATTCTAAAAGTTGACCGTTAACTTAATGACGTGACAATTAAGAAATAATAAATAAAATATAATATAATTTATTTTAATGTCCAACTCATTTTTACCATAAATAAAATAACATTATAATCTATTTGACCCTACTGCCTAAATGTATACTAGCATTGGGCCCGGCCCGTTGGCCGGGGTCCTACAAAACCTGTATCTTATGGTTATGACTTATGATTAGCCAAATTTGTAGCTTAAGAGATTCTATTTCGTGGAAAACAACAAACTCTAATAGCATCTTTATAACAACACTATCAGCTGATAAAAGCATCCATTTGAGTTTTTAATATGAATATGATGAAGCATATAATAATAGCCAATAAATACTCGATTAAAAATAATCCTAAAGTCCAATTCTTAAATTGCTCTAATAAAGACGACATAACAACATGCAAGAAAGTCAAATAAAAACAACAACAATCAAATTATAGAAAAAATGCAACAAACTTTCTCAGCAGCTTTCCATTAATAACAAACAACGTTACATTTAAACACAACTTATATGCGATAAACTTGGCAGTGATGAACCAAACTTAAGAAAAGAAAACAATGCATAACGAAAAAACTATCTATAGTATGAGAAAAGATTGCAGATTACTAAACAGAGGTTCAATAATAGGAACAATAGAAGACATCCATAAGGGAAAAACTATCTCTTAGATGAGAAAATCCATAGTTGAAACTTGAAACTGAACAAAAGACAATCCATAAGTGGAAAATCTATAACAGAGTTCCAATATCAATCTGACTGAAAATTAGAAATAGAATACTAAATATCACATAGATGAAAACATAATATTAAGCAGCAACTTCCCATTGTGGCCTTAACACCTTTTCCTGAAGTTCACTCAAAAGATAACTTATCGTTAGATAAATTAGAGGGATCCTGATAGGTTGCCATTTGTATTGGAAAACCCTTATGTTGTGGTCTTCCCTGTTTTTTTAATTCATTGAGCTGCGCAATGGATATTTTTGGAAGTTAAAGGCCCATCCGAAAATTACCTTATCCTTCTAAATTCTAATCACCTGTACACGGGTATAGTTTAATCATTTTTCAAGTTTGTCAACCTAGTTTATCCCATTGGCCCGTCCGAGCAAGTGGAATTAGGGTTAATGAGCCGACTTCTTTAGCTCGGTTTAGCCTGAATATATGGTAAAAATCATTATATTGTTTATACATTTATAAATTATATAAAATCTCATGTACCATATAAATAATAACATATAACATTACACCAAAAATAACATGTTGTACTGAAATCCAAAATATAATGAAAAAATAACGTCGTTTGACCTCCGATCTGATACCTTGCAGCCGGTCGACCCGATGATTGTGTACGACCCATTCTTCTCACCGAGTCAAGATTAAAACGGGCCAACCGACGGGTCAACACACGGTTTGACAACTTGTCGTTATTCATTTGAGTGATAAATGAGGTTGTGAGTAAGTGGAACTCCGCTAACCGGTATGCTTATTTAGTCTTTACCCTCCAAATTAATTACCTTAAAAGGAAAATTAAAGCTTAAAGAGCAAACCAATAAGGAGTTGCCATATGGCCCAGTTGCCGGATTTGCTCCACTCGATCATGCAGCAAAATATCCCCTATGAAAATACCTCTCCATCCTTCCATACTGTGCGGTATAGCCCCGAGGTGCTGAGGTGGCAAACTCTACATTCTGACATTCGCTTATAGTATTGTGTAGATAGTGTAAATATACAACAGTAGAAGTTAAAGAAATCAAGGGCATTTGAGTACATAGCTATACACTTCTCTGCTACTTGCAGTTGCAGCAGCAATATTCTACAACAATTACCAACAAAAATGCCACGTCGCTACCTTATGTATATTAGAAATTAAGAGTGGAAACCCAGCAGACAGTAAAGGAGAACAACATAACAAATTCCACTGAATCTCATTCAAGCAATTCCATTAACCATGTTAATCAGGCATTCTGTCCTACCCTCTCAATCATATTTTCTGCGGATCACAAAAGTTGAACTCATGACACCAATCAAGAGGCAGAAAGTGACATACTTGGGACTGAAACAACATGCACTTGGTGCATATTCGTCATACAACCAAAGGAACTTCCTTCTCCTAGCTAAAGTCGCAATATGGCGATCAACCCAAGTGAGGCGAGCTTTCAAC